ACTTCCCTTCCTCATCACTTCCCATCGTCAGCAATTCCATCGCTTCTCACTTCCCTTCCTCATCACTTCCCATCGCCACCACTTCCCTTCCTCACCACTTCCCATCGTCACCACTTCCCTTCCTCACCACTCCCCTTCATCACCACTTCCCTTCGTCACCACTCCCTTTCCTCACCACTTCCCTTCCTCAGCACTTCCCATCGTCGCCACTTCCCGCCATCACCACTTCCCTTCCTCACCACTCCCCTTCATCACCACTTCCCTTCGTCGCCACTTCCGTAACTCGGAAGTATTGCTTCCCAACTTCCTTTGATTAGATTATGTATTGTTATATTCTGTATTGTTATATGATCTACCACCCTTCCTCAAGGTCAATTTCATTGCTTCTTATTCTTTTGTGATGTATTGGTACATTATGTATTGTTATATTATGTATTGTTATATGATCTACCACCCTTCCTCAAGGTCAATTTCATTGCTTCTTATTCTTTTGTGATGTATTGGTACGTTATGTATTGTTATATTATGTATTGTTATATTATGTGTTGTTATATGATCTACCACCCTTCCTCAAGGTCAATTTCATTGCTTCTTATTCTTTTGTGATGTATTGGTACATTATGTATTGTTACATGATCTACCACCCTTCATCATAGTCAATTGCACCAAGTAAAAGTCATTCGTAACTCGGAAGTATTGCTTCCCAACTTCCTTTGATAATTAAATAAGATCATATAACCATACAGTTGTATGTGGTGGTTTCCAAAAATAGGTGTACCCCCAAATCATCCATGTTAGTAGGATTTTCCATTACAAACCATCCAGCTATTGGGGTACCACCATGACTATGGAAACCTCCATACGGGCCCCATATCCCACCTCATGGAAGTGATCACCATATGGTAACCACCACCCCAGTCCTGCACAGGCTTTCCTCGGTTGCTGCTGGACGAATTGAGAGGAGTCATGGATGACCATGACTTGGCATTGAACCACATGCTAACTTTGGGATCCCTCATTTTAAGAAGCCTCAATTTGTGCATATCAAATTAAATTAAATTAAATTATATTATATTATAGTATATTATAATATAATATAACATATTATATTATGTTATGTTATGTTCTGTTATGTTATGTTTCGTTATATTATGTTATATTATATTAAATCATGTTATATTATATTATATATTATATTATATTATATTTTACTATATTAATATTAATATTCTATTATATTATATTAAATCATGCTATATTATATATTATATTAAATTATATTTTATTTTATTATATTATATTTTATTATATTATTTTATATTTTACTATGTTATATTATATTATGTTATGTTATGTTTTATTATGTGATATTATATTATATTATATTATATTATATCTTATTATATTATATTATATTGTATATATATATATTATACATTATAGGCGCTGATTGTCTGTGGCGGTGTTTGAGGTACTTGGACGAAACATCCTAGACATCTGATGCCTAGTAGCCATGGCTCATTCTCATCCCCAACTGGATGGGTAGAAACTAATCCTTTAGTTTCTTGTCATGAATGGAAAATACGTATCACCAGCAAAAGATTTTTTGGCGGGCTATCAAAGATTGACCACGTTCTCCACTATCTGTTTCCAAATCTGATTCACAATCTGAAGCAGGGTTCTTTTTGGATCTGTTGAGCAAGTCCGTCAACCCAGGACCTGATCATTTTTGGCGTTTTTTTCTGGGGACGAATCTCCGAATCTCTGTCTGTTGCATTGTTTGATTTTGATGATTCATTTACACTCTGGTAAACATACAAAAAACTATGGACAATCACCATCTTTGAGTTCGGTAAATCAACAAACTAAATGGTCATTTTCAATCGCAAACTGTTAGTTTACCAGAGGGTAGCTGTGGGTATTTGAAAAAGAAAAAAATTAACTTATCGGCGCTCAGAAACTGGTTCCGTTTTTTCACTTCGAAATCCTCCCTTTTTGGGATTTCAAACTTGGCGTTTTTCAGTGGCAGGAGTTTGGACAACAATTTCAACGAACCGATGGTGGTTGGACACCTGGAGAGCAGCCACGTCACATTGAATCGAAATGTTTCATCATCAGATGGGGGGAACGGAGAAAGTCAACATTTCCTGATCCCCCAATATTGGGTACATGGACTATGCTGTGTTGTATATTATGTTATAATATATCATAGTACTGTATATAATGCTGTGTTAACATACTATATCAACCTATATATTAAATGATATGTATCTCTATAAAATATACCCATGTGTAATTTGTGAAGACATCGTACAGAAATACACCCCTAACATTTCAGATGGGCATGGTGCTTATCTTTGGCCTTGCCGCAACTTGTCACCCGTTGATTCGCTCCATGAGATCTCTGTATTTGGTGCATCGCAGCTGGGCATCGTACCTGATTAGTCTGATTTAGTAACTGGATAACTGTTTTTTACATATTATAAGCCGTTGATATGTGGGAAAATCATGGACAATCCAACGGGGATTCACCCAATTTCATGCACCATTCGCCAGTTTTCAGCATTTCTATGGCTGCTACATATAAATAAATAAATAAATATATATATACACATACTGTGTATATATATATATATGTATGTATGTATATACATATTACTGTAATATGATATATATATATATTAGTTAATTATATATATCAACCATACATTTATATAACTGAGCCTGTGGCATCAGCTTTCCATGGGACGTTTTTCTTGTCGAGGCCCAGGCGGTGTCGCGACTCTTGGGGACCAGTGCACGACTTCTGATCTCCAGGTGCGGGAAGGATCCCAAGGCTGAACTTTTCAGATGGTAATATAACTGATGTATGTTTGAGTTCCGAAAGGTATTGCCCATAATATTGCCCTTTGTGTCTCCATTACATTCTCATTATACCCTGTATACCCTATAAAATGGTTTGATCCTACATTTTTGCTGGTTACCCTCTGGCAATTTAACCTAGCTATTGAACATGGATAGAAATAGTTGATTTACCCGCTAAAACTTGTAATTTTCCGTTAGTTTACCAGAGTGTAATAAAATGGTGATTATCCATGGTTATATCATTTATATGTGATATCAGTCATATAGATGATTATATTTTGACTGTTTTTTCCCCACCTGCCAGGTGAGGGTTGTTAGATTTTATGTCAGTTGCCTCCTCCTGCCTCCTCCTGACTCCTGCCTCGTCCTCCTCCTCCTCCTCTCCTCCTCGTCCTCCTCGTCCTCCTTGTCATCCTTGTCGTCCTTGTCGTCCTCGTCGTCCTCGTCGTCCTCGTCGTCCTTGCTCAACTGCGACCCGCGATCCACAGTGTTCTCTGCCGGACCTCAACCGCGAGTATCCATGCCAAGTGTTCCCTGCCGGACCTCAACCACGACCAGCCACGCCCAGTGTTCCCTGCCGGACCTCAACCACGACCAGCCACGCCCAGTGTTCCCTGCCGGACCTCATCTGCGAGTATCCATGCCAAGTGTTCCCTGCCGGACCTCAACCACGACCATCCACGCCCAGTGTTCCCTGCCGGACCTCAACCGCGAGTATCCATGCCAAGTGTTCCCTGCCGGACCTCAACCGCGAGTATCCACGCCAAGTGTTCCCTGCCGGACCTCATGTCGGAAGATTTGCCAGATAGAATGCCAGAAAATCTGCCAGAAGATATGCCAGATAGATATGCCAGAAGATATGCCAGATAGAATGCCAAATAAAATGCCAGATAGAATGCCAGAAGATATGTCAGAAGATATGCCAGATAGAATGCCAGGTAATATGCCAGAAGATATGCCAGATAGAATGCCAGATAGAATGCCAGAAGATTTGCCAGATAGAATGCCAGAAAATATGCCAGAACATATGCCAGATAGATATGCCAGAAGATATGCCAGATATAATGCCAAATAGAATGCCAGATGCCAGATAGAATGCCAGAAAATATGTCAGAATATATGCCAGAAGATATGCCAGATAGAATGCCAGATAGAATGCTAGAAGATATGTCAGATAGAATGCCAGAAGATATGCCAGATAGGATGCCAAATAGAATGCCAGATAGAATGCCAGAAGATTTGCCAGAAGATATGCCAGAACATATGCCAGAAGATATGCCAGATAGAATGCCAAATAGATTGTCAGAAGATATGTCAGATAGAATGCCAGAAGATTTGCCAGTAAGAAAATGTATAAATGTCATGGTGGGGATCACACGAAGTAAAGTAATTTGAACTATAGAATCAATAGTTATAACTATATGGAATATATCTAAAAAACATCAGTTTCAAAAATGACACTTAAAAGTACGTTGATAAAACTGGTAAAGTGATATACTTGATACGTTGATCAACCATACTTGATATCCCGTTATATCACAACAGATGGTTGATGTAACTCTTGTGGTCACTGAAGACTTTTTCAAAAAACCAACGTACTTTTACAGATTCAGCTGCTGGCAAGTCGATGGCGGGATGTTTCAGATTGAATACTATACATAGATGTACACAGATGTAGGGACCCGGAGATATACACAGATTTTACATATGTTTCCATCATTTTCCATCAGAATGGTTGACTTGAATACTGTTGATGTAATAAATATAGATTTGTATACATGTATATACATAATAGGGCCACCAGTCTTGTAATCTTTGTTGGTTTTTAACCCCATAAAACTAGTTTGATACATCCCCCGCAAACCATAGTTATCGTATGTCATTTTCGTGAACTAAATCAATTTAGCCATTTTGAAGGCCCCACATTGTAGAGCATACCCGTTGCCACTTTCAGATGGTTTGTGAACCCATTCCTTCAACCTACATATAACTAGGGGGCCCCCACTATGTATGTTGTTTTCTGGAAAAAATAGCATTTGCGAAGATTGAGGCTTTCTGAATGCAGATTCCTAAAGTTCTCCCTTCTCTCCAAACTTCGACAGCTATCGAACTGGAGCACCTGCGCCATCGCCCAGTTCCATGCCAATTCGTGACCTGGACTTTTTCTCCAAAGCCTACAGTGAGGTGTGGCAGGCGACGGCCCGGGGATCGCATGGATTTTGTCTTCAAGTATATGTTGAGATCCTTGTTGAGATCCCTTTATTTGGTGGGTTCGATTGGTTCAATAGACACTCTTGGTGGTAACACCCTGGTTTTGACTCTATACGCACACACACATGTATACAGTATATACATAAAAGAACACGCCTTCCTTGTCCTCATATGTTCTTTGCTGAAAGGACATCTTGGGATGTATCAATTCACGCTGTCCAAAGATGTTGCCGAATAGGTTCGCATGGTGGAATGAGTGGAATGCTCGCCGATTTCTTTCTATTGTTGAATCCAATGGATGTCAATGAACTCTATGAAGTCTTGAAAGTTTATCTCGAAAACACAGATGGGATATGATGGGATGATTAGCAGCAGGTCATCCACAGGTTGGGGCTAAATTACACGCCACAGATTATGCCTTCCTCAAAACTTCTGCCATTCACCCAGAAACACAGATGCAGCATTGCAAAGCTTCCTTTGAAATCGCTTTGCTCCGGCCAATTTCAATAGTCAGCGACGGCCAACACAATAGTCATTAGTTTTGGAGGGAAGTCAAATCCCCAATTTGGGAAGTTCGAAGCTTTTTCAGCCCGATCCTTCGAATTTCGACAGGCGCCGATTCAACCGGCCATGGCCAATCGAGGTGCCTCAGGCGGGAGGTCATAGGGGGTGTTTTCTGTGGGGGCAAGCCGGACAAGCATCAAAAAAATGGATAAAAAATGGAGAAAACCCATCAAACATAGAGAAATTATGGTGATATCAAGGAGTCAGATATAATTCGCCATAAAAAATCATGAGAGTTTGAATGATTTTGATGGTTATCTCTCTATGCGATCGACCATCGATCTTTGGATCATCCCACGGTTCTCGTAAGTAACTGGTGAACGGAAGCATTGTTAGTTCATCCCACGCATTCGGGATTTGTTAACCACTTACGATCCGTGGGATGATTTTCCAAGGGGAATTACAGTATCGCAAAAAGGGCTACTATTCGAAATGGTTTGTGGTATTTGTATGGATTTATTATGATTTAATACCTGATGTTTATTGTTGATCTTGTTATTGGATTTAGTCGTAATTATTCCGTACTGGTTTGGGACTGTGAGGAATAACTGATCATGAGAAAGTATGATTTGTTTGTGAAGAAATAGATCCATTGGCTTATGACTACTTATTGCTGCTTTCTGGAATTGTTGGATTTATATGAAATCATTGTAATTTGCCAAGATAAAAGGAGCTAATCCTACACTGAGCCCTTCCAGGGCGACTGTGGCGGATGGATAGTTCACCATGCCTGCATCTTTGCAAAAGGTGGCGGAATAATTAGGAGTGCAGTTGCATTCACAAGTGGATATTTGTTACCATAGTATAGCAAATCATGCCCCATATATATATATATATATATACGTATATATATATATATGGATATGTGTATATATATATATAGATTATGGATATATATATATATGTATGCATATAATATATGTATATATTATATATAATTATAAAATCATAGTATACCAAAAGAAATAGCCCAGTTAGATTTGGCTGGGAGATCTCCAGTTAGAGTTCTTTCACAGATCAAAAACTCCACCACGACTGGAGGATATCTTTTTGGATAACCTAGCAAACTGATAGTTCACTGGACCAGTTTCTGGCTATTATAACTGGGAGGCCCCATATTTACAGAGGATATCTATGGATATTGGATAAACCATGATAAACCCCTATGAATACTATGGCTATCAGTATCATAAACCATGGTTGTTGTAGTTACCCTCTGGTAGACTAACATAACTATGAACAATCACTACTTTTAATAGGTAAATCAACGAACTAAACAGGTCATTTTCAATAGCTATGTTAGACTACCGGAGGGTAATAGTATTTCCAATTACAATGTTTTCTAATTTGCTGGTTATTATGCCTCTCACAGTCTCTAACATTCTCAAACATTGTTATATTATATTCATAATTATAACAGCCCTATAAGTTGTTCTAGTCTAATATTGTAGCACCGTATATTTATAATATACCAGTTTAATCCCTGTATTTCTACAGTAATACTATTCAATGCCCCATCAATTATATTACACTCTATACTAATATCCCAGTCTATTCTTTATGATATTAGCAATTGATATGTTCCCAACATTAGCAATTACAATGTCTTCTAACAGTTGGGGGTAATGATGGTAATGTATCAATTTAACCCAAATCTCAGTATACATCATATAATATTATAGTTGGTTGTCACGATTATATAAACTATAATTACCCAGTCTACTGTTTTGATATATATATATATAATATTAGTCTATGATTCACAATAGCCCAGTCAGTGTTCAAGTGGTATGATCATAAGAATCAAAATTCTAATAGCAATAAGTCACTACTGTACTCGTGTTTCTCGTAGACCAAATCCGGTGATATTAACTTGTATATCAGCAGCTATCTCATTCTCATTACATTAATGTCTATAGTATATACTGTATATATATATATATAAATAAGCAGCAGTCAACTAATATACATAGATTTACTGTAGTATAATGTCTATAGTATATATAATGTCTATACTATTGACTATGATATGTATACACATTCTTCCTTATCCCAATTAAATATCATCATTGCCAAGCTGACCATCGTTTGAGATCAGGTATCGATGGCGTGATCAGCACTGCAGCCGGAATCTGCGCGGGATGTGAGGCGTATCCAGGGGATTACAAGAAACAACACGATTGGATGACATATATCTGATGATACATGGTTGATTCTTCAATATGCGTTGATTTGCTCTTCAGAAAACAACTGTGTGATGGCACTTATATTATATATATATCCAAACATAGACATTACGCATATCACACACACACATATATATATACATAGATATAAGATGATATAAGAAATATGTATATATATATATAAGATATATGTATGTTTGTATATATATATACACACATCCTGGTACACAAACGAATCCAGATGTCTGGCCTACAGCGCCCGTTGTCGCCAGGTGCCATGTACGCTGGTCATTGGAGATGCCCAGCGGTGGAATTGAGCAGCTGCGATGACATTTCCCTGCTGGTTGATGTTTATCTGATTATGTACTTTGTTATTTAAGTGTATATAACTGATAAATGATCACAACAACAGATAAACATCAACCAACATATGGGGATATAACTTTGTTTATTCCACTGATATGTTTATTCCCCTGATTGTTTATCAGTTATTTGACAGGGTGAACATATGGGGATATAAGTGGATATAACTGATACATGATCATAGATGATGGTTGATGAATGATCATATGGGGATTATGCTATATATCCAATATATTAAGGATTATCATAGTGAATTGGGAAATATGTTTTTAACCAACCAGTCGGAAGGAACGACATTTCCAGTTTTGAGCACTGCTCAATTGGCAGTAGGGCATCTCCAAAATAAGTGATAATCACAGTGATTTCACCAAATTTGATATACACTTACCTTCCAGTAAATAAACATAGACCCTGGACACTGGACACTAGCATTTTTTTGTGCTAAGTCTTCCAACTGCCTAGCTGACATGGTCTATGTTAGTTGGGAGGATATTGTATGATGTATGGATTCATGTAGCAATACAAATGTAGTAGTCTAATGTCCAAATGTAATAGTATAATATCCAAATTAAGCTTGAACTTTGCTACATTTGGAGATTGTAGACTTATAAAATGTTAAATGGAATGTCGTGGTGTAACGCGTGCAATATGTGACACCTTGTATTTTCTCATATATATATAAGGATATATCATACTATATAAAACACAAACATACACATATATATATACAGTACATATGATATATGATATGATATGTGTAAACGTATATTTATATAGTTATATATATATCACATATATATATATATTCGGTAGGTATGAAATAAAATGTATTTATTTACAGATACAGTTTTCCCCAAATGTCTTGGATTCCGAGGTTGCAAGCATTCAGGATATCAATGCCTTTCAGCTTTTGGGTGGCTCGCAGGCGGAACATTTTTGTTTCAGGTCCAGCATTTTTGTTTTTTGATGGGGTTATAACAGTATATATATATATATATCGTGGGATAAAATGGGTTGTAAATGATGGAATATTTTCATGGGATATGGTTGAAGCAAGAAACATGGTGATTTTTGTATGGGGGTATCATAGGATATCCAGGGCTATAATGGGATATTCATGGGATTGATTTGCCATGGTACTTCGAACCTTCTTCTCAACACTTTTGAGAGAAGGGCTCATGGTTTTCAATTTCATGGGGCGAAAAATCGGCATTTCATCGATTTTTCCAGCAAACCAAGTTTGCTCACCACAGGGCAGAACTAAACTTCAAAAGATATGAGCATCAATATTACTGGAACATCAACAACAAAATATAATTTAACATATATTATATACCACTCTTTTTTTGACTGTGAAATCCACCGTGAAAACACAAAAACGTGTTTCTTGGCGGCTTCGCCTTCGCTGCGCTGAGTAGGCACCTCCCCTCACGGTGGTCCTCATCAACAATGGTGGAGGCTTTGATATCTGGAGATGGGTCAAAACTTATTGCCCTATGACTGGGGGAACAAACATCCATTATACCAAGCGATAAATAACACCGGCAAGAGACCCCAAACAGTGTGGGGGGTGGGAAGTCAACGTACCAGATACAAGCAACAGTAGCTATGGAACAGTAACAGATGAGGTTAGACATTATCGCAACTACAGCAGCAGAACATTCTATGTAGATCTTTATCGAGGAGCTCAGAAGATCTTCATACAAGAACTTCCTATGAGCACCAATGCAGAGGATCTTCAAGATCTTAATGCAAGGACCTCTTGAGGAGGATGGCAACCGGATCTCCACAAGATCTTCTCATACGGGCCTGTACCAGATCATGTAAGGACACCGAGACGATTTCACCAGGACCTCTGCAAGAGCTTCTCACAAGGGCCTGTACAAGATCATGCAAAGGCCTCTGACAGCATTTCACTGGGATCTCCACAAGATCTTCGCACGAGAAATTGTAAAAGACCTTGAGCAAGATCTTCATACCCGAAGAGAATTTCACAAGATCGTCACAAAAGGACCTGCTGCTGCTGTAGCGGATCTTACAAGATCTTGATACAAGCACCTCCAAGACATGGCATCTGCAAGCTCCTCATACAGCTCCTCATGGTGAAGCAACATGAATGTACAAGGCAACGCGACGCTCAGTTTGTGCGAGCCTGCGCAGTCGAAACGCACGTGGACATGTCACAAGAGCCATTTTACGCAAAAAACCATGCAGGAAAAATGCCAGGGACCAGAAGTTAATTAGGCACACGTTTTGTGCGAGCCTGCACAGGCGAAATGCACATGGATATGTCACAAGAGCCATTTTATGCGAGAACTTACAGGATAAATGCCGCGCCCCAGAAATAAGGCGTACGTTTTGCGCGAGCCTGCGAAATCGAAACGCACATGGACATGTCACAAGAGCCTTTTTATGCGAGAATTTACAGGGAAAATGCTGCGCCCCAGGAACTAACAAAACTCGCTCCATCCTGCGCAGTCGAAATGCACATGGACATGTCACAAGAGCAATGTGACCAGATGGAGCACCCTGATCAAGCATTGGCCCTTATACCAGTGTGGGCGCACTGTTTGGGAAACAGGGTGCGAGGGTTTTGACTCACAGGCAAGTTGCTTTGTGAGTAGGTTAACTATGGTTTGTGATATATATCTATATATACATATACATATACATATACATATACATATATATATCTACATATATATATATGTATATATATAGACAGATACATATACATATATTTATACTTATATATACATATATATATATACATGTACATATATATACATATACATACATATTTATATATATACATATATTTATACATATATATATATATATATTTATTTCATGGAATGTATATAGGTATATGTGCGTTATAAATGATAACGGGAATGGAGGGTTGGATAACAAAACGGGTCGGCCGCTATTTCTCAGTTGAAAACTTTGAATACTTGCCCACAGCTGGGTCACAGACCTCCGTTTTACTGGATGAACACAGATGAAAGCTGCTGCAAAACTGATGAAACTCTGGATTCAGGGCTCATCTAAGGCTTTTGTTCAACCACAAAATGAGAGATTGATCAATACTGGGTATTCGAATCTGTTTGAAACTCGGAAATCATGAAAGAGATCACGCCATCAAGTAGGTACATGTCAACATCTTCGAAAGGGTGGAAAACCGAGGTTGGGGTGTCCCAAAACTCTCTGGTTTTCTCTTGCACATCCACATGGGTATGGCAAAGGGAAAACGTTTTTTTTTTTTAACGATCCCGCTTTGGTGTTGTTTGTAGTTCAGCATCATTTTGGGGGGTTAAACAATCGCAGACCATCCCACTTATTGGTACCCAGCTGTTGCTGACTAGGTGGCATTTTCTCCTTCCTTCCCATCAGCAAACACAAGGACGTCTGGGACTCAGAAACCAAAACCTCTGACTTCAGAGCCTCTTCAATTGAACCTGCGAACACTTTTAGGTCTGATTCCTCCTGTCATAGAGTGTAACCTCTTACAACTTACTGAGTCTAAGGGAATTGAAACTGTTTGATCCAGATCCACGCGGTAAGAAAAATGTCCATCACCATATGGTCAATTTTGGGTCTCTTTGGGGTGTGCCATTGGGATGGAGCTGGAGACCCAGCTAGTCACTGGATGATGGAAAAAGCCTAAAAAACCAGTGGAGTTCTGGGTTTCTTAAGTTCTTTGTTAACCAAAAATAAACAACCCAGCACTCCACTGGTTTTTCCATCATGTTTTCCATCATGTTTGTCCCATTGTTAACCAGTATCAATGGGAAAGGCCTCTAGTGAAAGGGGCGATTCGTGGTGTCCCACGAAGAGATGGTGAATCTGGTGGTCCCAATACAGCCGCTGAACCACACTGAGGCTCCACAAACTGGGGTTTTGAAATGGTTGATGGTTAATAATAATGGTTAGTAATGGTTAGTAATGGTTAGTAATGGTTAGTAATGGTTAGTAATGGTTAGTAATGATTAGTAATGGTTAATAATGATTAGTAATGGTTAATAATGGTTTGTAATGGTTAGTAATGGTTAGTAAGGGTTAGTAACGGTTAGTAATGGTTAGTAATGGTTAGTCATGGTTAGTAATGGTTAGTAATGGTTAGTAATGGTTAGTAATGGTTAGTAATGGTTAGTAATGGTTAGTAATGGTTAGTAATGGTTAGTGGTTAATGGTTATTAATTGCTATATACATTTAAATATACGGTAACTACATTTAAATATACGGATTTTGAAATGTACGAACCGGTATTTTAGACTACCTCCGGGAACATATTTAAATATCGTTACCGTATAACTGTTGTGTTTATGGTGGATTTATCGAACTACGAACTAGTTGTGACTGGCACAAAGCAACAAACTGGTTTCTGGCTTCAACTTACACAAAAATCACATGAATTCCCATAGAATCACCATGAATATGCCATATTGACTTCAACATACTTCAACTTATCTTGCTTTTCAGAGGTGTTGTTCCAGATGATCACCGAAAAAAAATCAGGTGATGTCGCCCTTCTTCAACGAACCGCACGAAGCAGACTTTCAATCCATGTCCGGGTCCAGGTGGTCCAGGTTCTGCCGCTTCCTAAAATGGGGATGCCCCAAATCATCACTGGTTGGTGGTTTGGAACATTTTTTATTTTCCATAATGTATGGGATAATCCTTCCCATTGACTAATATTTTTCAGAGGGGTTGAAACCACCAACCAGTCAAAAATCATCAAACATTAGGCAATTTTAGTGGGTTAATGAGGGTTTATGGTGGTTTAATGGGATTTAATGGAATTTACCCTCTGGTAAACTAACATAACTATGGAAAATCACCTTTTTTTATGGGTAAATCAACTATAAATAGCCATTTTCAATAGCTATGTTAAATTAACAGAGGGTACAGTAGGCCATTTTAGTCTTGAAACCCGTGATTTTGGGGTACACCCATTTTAGGACACCTTCATATATAACGGGTCTGTAAACCACCGAATAGAGAATGGGCATCAAACCAAAGATACAATATGAAACATAGTAATACAATACATGAGATGCTCAAAGAAAACATGGAAGGTATTACCACTTTCGTCGATCAATGTGGAGCTTCCCGTCAGATTGGACTTGGTAACTCGCCTATTTGGCCACGGCAGATTCTCCAAGATCTTGGCCCTTTGGGAATTTCCGGCAGAATTTCCACATTGGGAGCCAGCTATAGGGGGTGTTTTTCATAGGGGATCAGTTGCTGCGCACAGCAACCCTGTGAGACTCGGCAGGGCTCCTTGACACCAAGAGCAAGGGTCCATTGATACACTGAGATGCAACCAGCCGTCATTAGTTCCGATCTATTCTTGGGAATACTCATTGTATTTTTGTTGGATTGTTGCTCCAACAGAGCCAGGTTGATTTCTTGGATTTTGTCTTTGTGCTACTGTCCATTACTTACAATTACTATAACAACACATTATGAATCAATAGAACCATATGGGATGAATCATGGCCTATCATACCCCTTTTATGCTTCTTTTATGGGATGAATCTCCACCTGCCAGCTATTTTGCTGTGAACAGCAGGGCACCGTTTGGTTTTAAGCCATAGCCAAGGGGGTTTCCTGAAATGAGGGTCCCCTTTATCGCTGGATGGTTTGTTTACGTTTATTTCATGGAAAATCCCAATCTAAAATGGAAGGTAGTAGCACCTGTAAGAGGCCGTGTCGGTGATGACATCACACAGTGCCAGGACGATGAGGGAAGTGTCCGAAACTGTAGCAATTTATACATTTTTATATTTCTGAAATAAATTTCTGGTGCAAATCCCTTGGAAGGGTCGCTTCAAAAGTGGAAAATCTAGTGTTTTACAAGCACGAAGCAGGAGTTTTGTTCGTCGAGGGTTTCGCCGAAAAGTTCCTTTTTTCCTTTCAAGCACAAAGTTGTCCGAGGTTGTTCAGGACATTGCCTTTGACGCTCTTGCGCCAGACTGCAGCATAAGTACTTCCAATTTTTTCTGAAATCTTGTCTGCAGTCTTTATGTGTATGCAACTGCCGGGGAATCGTGTTTTTAACCCATCCCACTGTCTACCCATCCCACAGTCTAAAGTCTGTGTTCCGGCCAAGCTTCACAAACTCACCGCGGTTGTGGGCAACGTTTTGCCATTTGAGGCGTTTTTCTGGCACTTGTTGTTTGGAGGCTCCTTTCCAAGCTTTGCAAATTTGCAACCATCAGCATAGCAAACTGTTCTGCTCGTAGCATGACGTATGTGTGGAAGTGCAAGAGGACGTGCAGCAGCGTAGCATGACGTATGTGTGGAAGTGCAAGAGGACGTGCAGCAGCGTAGCATGACGTATGTGTGGAAGTGCAAGAGAACGTGCAGCAGCGTAGCATGACGTACGTGTGGAAGTGCAAGAGAACGTGCAGCAGCGTAGCATGACGTATGTGTGGAAGTGCAGGAGAACGCACTATGTGGTTGCAGTCGCAATGAGCGTTAACATCCCAACCCACCCCATCCCCTCCCAACCCCCCCGCACCCAAAATATCCACACGCACATGGCCTCTTACTGGTGTTGACACCTAAAGTGGATGCTAACTAGGGGTACCCCCATGACTTCGGAAACCTCCATATATTGTATTCACCATTTTAGGAATCCTCCATTTTAAAATGGTGGATCCTGTATTTTAGGAAACCTCCATTTTTACCATTTTAAACCCCCATGACTTTGGAAACCGGGGGGACCAAGGCATAGGATGGTCCCAAGATGTGAATCTGGCGGTGGGTATACTACTTTTATCCCCGTGAACAATAGATGACAGTGAACCTTCATGATCAAAAAAATGGATGGATAATGATTAACATAACAATAACCATTCATAGATTATCTTAGATAATCATTATAGAATAGATTTATGGTTCCACCCACAATCCCCGTGGCTGAGATGTAATGCCTTCAATGTGCCGCACGTCTTGTGCAATTCGCTGCAAGACTTTGAGGTCAGGGACTCAGACTTCAGCGATCTTCAACCGTTTTTTGATGTTTTTTGGATGTGTATCCCTGTTAGGAATTGGATAATAGATGAGAATAGGCTGCATATATCCGGGTACATTCATACATTTTATTCGGATTCCATCGCAAAAAGATCCGTTTATATCTCTTTATGAACCACTTTCTAATCCAAGTACTAAGCAAATTTCAATGTTGACTGCTCATTGTCGCCTTTTGGTCATTTACAACATATGGAGCAGCGACGAGTGAATGGTTCAGGGGTTTCTTCATTTTTTTCGGACGGGATGGGATGCCATGCCATCCTCGATATTGTTGATATTTGTCGATATTTGGATGAAACTTGTTGGATGATTGTTGTTTTTCCATGTTTTTTCCCTTTCATAGACTATATTGGACTGGCATCAGTCGGATCTCGACTGCTTTGGTCAATGCTGAATTTGGCCTGCAGGATTGTGGGCATTTTTGGGTCTGAACATATATATATATATATAGTATTTATTTAAATCCATTACTTAGTCTTCAATCACCATCATATCTATCATTGGCTTAATATGGCTGGTATATCCCATATAATCATCCCAGATATAATCCGTGGGTTCCATATTTATCATCATTTTCCCGTATTCTCCCTATAGTTCTCATGGCCCCTTAACGTCTGGGTATCCTCTGGCGGCTCTCAGCCAGAGGCGGCTTACGTCACCTCCCAGAGTCAGAAAACAGGTGTGGGCGTCCCGTTGTGGAAAACCGGTCCGGTGGTGCCACAAATTGTGAAAAGTTGGAAGGTGGGTAACCTGGTGTGGTAACCATAGTTATGGCGAAACTGTGAGAACTGGGTCAACTGGTTAGATACGAAGTATAGTACTTGAATCGCGATTTCAATGGTAAAATGATGTAACATGTACACTAAATGTACTATATAACCAGCAAAAATGAGATTTTTGCAAGGTATCTAAGATTCACGATGCAATATTGGTCGAAGATCTTTGATTTTGCGTACAAGAAATTGACTCATGGCCACAGCTTGGGGATAGATCACTCTCTCCAGTCTTCCAATTTATTCAGCTTCCAATGGTACGATGTGTGACAGAACGACCTTGCATTTGACCAGGGGGCAACAATCGCAACCTGACCGGATGCAGTGTTGTCACAGACTTTGATTTTGGACTTTGTGGGAGTAATGTTGGTTTCCCCCAAGCAAAGACACGGTTAAATAAATCATTTAAGGGGTTTACGGTTTATACATGGTTTGGCAATGCCACCCATAAAATGGTGACTTTTGGGGGTTCATGGTTCATTGGGTTTGGCACATGAGATCAACACGCCATCGGCTGGCTTCATCCCCAGGAGAGATAGGAAACAACTCATCCTGGATGGTTTTTGGGCATGTTTTTGTGGCAATGGAAAAGAACTGCTTGGTGGTGACTGGAACCATGGAATTTTATGACTTTCCCATATACTGGGAATTTCATCATCCCATTTGACGAACTCCATGATTTTTCAGAGGGGTAGGTATACCACCAACCAGATGACTTTTGTGGACGATCAAAGATTGACTCCATGGTTTGTGTTGCTGAGAAAACACAGCGAATTCGAAGAACATCGGCTCGCGGCCTCTCCTGGCTCGGCTTGGGCAGGTTGCGTCATTGAAGTTCAACCTGCCTTGAACTTTGAGGCCAGGGTCGCGCTGATGGATGACTGGGGGTACCACTACTTTTTGATGCAACATAAAAGGGAAGCTCCAAATAGAATTCCATGAAAGTAGTTGGGAGCTACCAAATCAACTATCAATGGCAACCATAGCTATGTTAGTTTACCAGAGGATACTTTTTACCTTTGGACAATTCACTATGTTTGGAGTTGTTTTTCTGAGAAGGTCACCCAACAGAGAAGACTCCCCAGGAGAATGTGATGTTGCACAAGCAGATTGGACAGGCCTGGCATATCCTGGGGACCGCAGCGCTTCTGAAAGGTGAAGACTTTTCTATGAAAGACTTAATGCAGAATGTGACGAGGTTCCTACTGATCATCAGATTGTTTTTTTGTTCTATCAATGAATCAAGTATACTACAGGTATGTATATTCGATCTGTATCTAAAACCTTATGTCCCCTCATTGTGAAATTGTAATTGAGGACATATGGGGGGTTCTTTAAATTGGGGGATCCCAAAGTCACCATAGGTTTCAATACTAAGTCATGGTCATCCATGACGACTGGATGAGTTGGCAAGCTACCGCCATGATTTGCGAAACTTCCATTACAATCATTACACACCTATAAATCTAACATTAGATCACTATTAATTACATCCTCATGAAATCCTCATTACATCCCCATTACATCCCCATCAAATCATCATCAAATCCACCAGTTTTCCCATCAAATTTCTCCCCCATCGCCGTTGCACGGCGACGGGTCCCCATTTCTTCCACGGTGTTCTGAGGATGTCGCAAGGGCTGTGCGGGATGAGCTTGTTTCGCAGGCAGACCCCTTCGGAGTTAGTGAACGGTGATTTAAATGGTGATTTTTCTAGGCGATTTTTCATGGAAATTCGTAGGGATTTAATGGGAATTACTCGGATTTATACAATGGAATGTAACTTAACTCGAGAATTGTTTTTGATTAGCATTTGGTCATCAGCTCCGTTTCGGGCTGGAAAAGCTCCAATTTTAACACCCAGGCCTGGAGATTTCCCAGCTAATGTCAACCCCAGATTTTTTTTCACCATTAAACCATGGTTTATTTCGGGGGTACTCCTCCAATAGTCATTGATACTTTTTTATGGTACCCCAATTAGCCGTCAACAGGGTGGACATTCATCCACAGATCAAGGATTTCAGCTATGGTATGCCGCATGGAACTTGCGTAACTGACCCATGGTGCCTGGATGTCAATGTGGTAACTTATGTATGCAGTATAAGATAGTATAATACTATATTATATGATGCCCATATGCTCCATGTATGCAGTTAATACTATATGATACCCATGTGCGAACCATGGTGCTGGAATATGCACACCTACATTTACCTCATTTTTATTGCCCAGTTTTGTAGGTAAATATTCCAGCACCATGGAGCATCTGGGATATATGGGTGTGTTATGTTTGAATAGGGTACCCCAAATTCCGCTAGTTAATCATCATTAATCATCATGTTTCCTATGAAACTGGCCCTTCAAAAAATATCCCATTTTCAGACACAGCCAGATGGAAACTTTGATCCACCATGGAATACCTGGAATTCCTGATGATTTGGCATTTTTCCAATGGGAAATCCATTACTCTCGGAATCTATGGGCCGGAAAAAAAAAAAATATTTATTTATTTATTTTGGGGGTGTCCTTAAGCAAATCCAAGGATATTCACGGATATTCTATATACTGATTTCTCGTCCATCCGCAGCCTCATTGTCAGTGGCCATTGTCATGCATGAAATGATTTTGATCGCACAGTTTGATCACCAGTTTTATGCAAAGTGCGTCTCTACATACCCTCTGGTACTCCCTGATTCACTTTATAGTTCTTATCTCCATCAATCACTTCGGCATTGGCGAGCACCTTGAATGTCGATTTTCCCGTCCAAAATTCATTCAATTTGTTTGTTGATTCGTGATTGTCGCCTTTGAATCTCCATGTGTCTCTGATTATGATACATACACATTTGTATGTACAGGATTTTAATATTGTATAATATATATATAATGATACACACAATATATACAATATACATAATGTCCATATAAATATATATAGTTACATATATATATATAGATATATACACATACAAGTATTATGCATGTCGGGGGAAGCTAGTTGGTAAAGGCCACATCGGGATCCATAGATGTCCCAGGTGAAGATCTCTTGGTGTCAAGGTGGAAAGGCGCGCACCGCGCACCTGGACGATGGTTTTGTATTTCCATAAAAATGGAGATTTTCAACAACAAAACTTTGACTTTCAGCTTGTTTTGAATTTATACAAGAACAGTTTCTTGTTTCACTCCCCTGATTTTTGGTGGGTTGAAACCACCAACCAGCTATGAGCCTGACACCAAGTGGAAGACCGACCCCCCCAGATGGCAGCAGAACAAACTAATGTCGTGAGGTAAATCAATGTAAATCATTGAAAACAGCAAACCCAAGGAGAATCCATGCTACCTTCTTGTGGCTTCTTGGTGGTTGTACAAACTAAACCTCGAGAAATTGAGGTCAAAAAAGTAAGTTCTTAGCCCTTTCCCAAGGGCTTCATCAGATGGCTGAAACCGAAAGCTGATCTGCAGCAGTTCTTGGATTCTACATTGACTGGTTGGTGGTTTCAAACATGTGTTGTTTTCCAAAATATATATGGGATAATCCTTCCCGTTGACTTTCATATTTTGCAAGATGGTTATTGCACCACCAACCAGTGATGATTTTTGGATTAACCACTATTAACCACTATTAACCATTATTAACCATTATTAACCATAGAAATCACCATTAAAACCCATTGATCTAGATTGTGGCCCAACATCATCGACGATGAAATTTATGATCTCGATGATTTCCCAGCCATGTTCTTTTCGATGATGACATCCATTTGCAAGAGATAGTCCCAAGAAAAACATCGTGGGCCCCCGCCAGTTATAATGAAGTTGGATTATATAACCCCATCTAAGTAGTTCAATATATCATAATCCTCAACAAACACCAGCTATTGTCGTTTTAAAACAACACAAAAACGATCAAAAACGGGGTTCCCACTGTGGAATTTGCCACGGAGGCGGAGGGAAGGAATGTCCTGGTTCTTCTACACGGCTGGATGGGTCAAAAGGTGCGGGTGGATCAGTCGTGACTCGTGGGCTTGAAAGCCATGCTTGAGGAACGGGATTAAAAGAACATGTTAAAACCATCCAAAAAATCAAAAGATGTGGATATATTTGTGGATATGTTTATGGGTCAATACCTATAGATACATTTTTAGTGGGATGAACATCAATTTACCAGCTATTTTGGGGTTCACTAGGTACCAGGGTTTTGACCCATCCCCATATTATTTAGATAAACTGCTTGGTTGATGATATGTACATGTATACGGGATTATTATTGTCCATGAAATGGGAATCCCCACGAACAACACCAACAGGAAATGGGTATGAGAAATGATGATATCCTCCGGAAATCAAACGTGGCAAGTGAAAATCCTTCATTGCTGGATGATTCTCCCATTTAAATCCTTCCCATGGATTTTTTATGGGAAAAACCATGGTTTTTTAATGGGAAAAAGCATGGTTTTAATGGGAAAACCATCTATAAATGATGGATCTTCCATTGCCACCTTTGATGAAACCAGAGGGTCAACCTGCCAAAAACCATTGACAAAACAGGACACCGCCTTCGTCTCGTCGGCATAACTCATAGGGAGACCAAGGAACTGGATGATCCGTCACTTTTCCCATGCAAATTTGCCATTGCCATTCGGGCATATCCATGGACAAAAGCCATACAACCATCTTCCCATACTGTTGGCCATCCAGTGATATTCCCATGATATTCCCATGATATTCCCATGATATTCCAGTGATATTCCCATGATATTCCCATGATATTCCCATGATATTCTCATGATATTCCCATGATATTCCCATGATATTCCCATGATATTCCCATGATATTCCCATGATATTCCCGTGATATTCCCATGATATTCCCGTGATATTCCCATGATATTCCCGTGATATTCCCATGATATTCCCATGATATTCCCATGATATTCCCATGATATTCCCATGATATTCCCATGATATTCCCATGCTATTCCCATGATATTCCCATGATATTCCCATGATATTCCCATGCTATTCCCATGATATTCCCATGATATTCCCATGATATTCCCATGATATTCCCATGATATTCCCATGATATTCCCGTGATATTCCCATGATATTCCCATGATATTCCCATGATATTCCCATGATATTCCCATGATATTCCCATGATATTCCCATGATATTCCCATGATATTCCCATGATATTCCCATGATATTCCCATGATATTCCCATGATATTCCCATGATATTCCCGTGATATTCCCATGATATTCCCATGATATTCCCATGATATTCCCATGATATTCCCATGATATTCCCATGATATTCCCATGATATTCCCATGATATTCCCATGATATTCCCATGATATTCCCGTGATATTCCCATGATATTCCCATGATATTCCCATGATATTCCCATGAGATCTGTTATTTCTCCCCAAAAAAATAACGATTTCCTGATCGCCAGAGGGTTCGGCCTCGTCGACTCGTCCGAATGGAATCGGAATGGCGGAACAAGCGCAACGGTACCGTTAGGTGGTGCCCCCCTAGTTATGTTTGTTGGTTTTAATTCCCATGAACTATAGATATAACCATAGTATATAAATGGACTAAAAATAAGTTGCTTTTAATCCCCCTAAAACCATCTATAGAAAGTTCAGCCCCAAAAAAAAACACAGTGAAATTGGACTTCTTGGCACCATGCTGTAGGCGATTCCGGGCCCTGGGGCCCTGGGGCCCCATCCAGGCGGACTGGAAATTGGTGAGCCAAATCCTGATGGAGGAAGGGATCCGGGGATGATCCGGGGATGATCCGGGATAGCCCGGTTGGACCCGGTTGGACCCGTTGGATCAATGGTTTTCT